AGATATACTTTATTGAATATCTTTCCCTAGATATTCAATAACTAATTTAAAGGGATACTTAATTGAAGCTGTAGACGAGTAAATTGTTAACAGCAAAGGTGCAATAAAATTGATTAATTAAAAAAAAAAAAAAAAAAAAAAAAAAAAAAAAAAAAAAATCAAATCACCAGTCAAAATAGTGGGTTAAAGATATTAAATGGGAAATAACTCAGTTATTTATAAATCCCACCGTGGATGCCAAATATTTTGCGTCGCCACCACAGCGTGTATTTCCCGTCAGCGCAATGACCACTTATGAGACGACGACATATCAATGTGTATATATATTAAATATATACTTCCAAAAGGGTTCGACCTGTTACTATAACTTTAACTGTTTAGGGTTTACAGAGACATAAAACTAACAAAAGTTCACACCCTGTTTATTTCTGTATTAAGGCACAACATGAAACTATGCAGTTTTGACAATAGTAATAAGTTATACTGTAAACTTATGACGTTATATGATACACAAAAGGGGACCCAAGAGGATACATAGAACTTAAAAGGTATAAGATTTATCGATCTCATTGTTAACTGGAAATATATCTGATGATGTGCAGTTGCACCTGAGGTTCAATTGCACCTAAGGTTCAGGTGACGTTACGGTATAAATGAGGTGCTGTTGCACCAAGGTTTTTACTTTAGCAATAAATGGTCATTTCCAATCAAGGTGCATTGCCTCAGCAATGTATATAGATTTTGCCTTATACGGTGCAGAGACACCGAAGTAGATGTGGTGCGCCAAATCAAACTTGGATGCACCGCTAAATTTGACCACCGCTATAAACGGATTAAATATATTTAGCGAATCATCTAATTATAAAACGTAACTTATAATCACAACTTTTCTCTAAAAGATCAATAATTTACGGAAGCTATTAACTGAATAATAATGCACCCGGTGCAATTTATCTCGACTCTTGGTGCAAATAAAGTTAAAGAATGGTTTCTCTAGTGGAATCACACATTAAATTACCTAAAAAGGCATATTTAAATAAAACTTTCACGATAACGTACCATAGCTACATCCGAACGAATGTGTTGCTGAGACATTATAAGAAGCAATTAGATTAAAATCTAAGCGACTGTTAAAAATGAACGTGTCTCAAGTAAAAGTGAACTGAGAAGAATGACGTCACAAGTACGCTTTATATATATAATAATATTAACCAATCAAATAATTCCATTTGCGATCTCCGGGCAAACGTGCAGATTTGCGCAAAGATGGTGCTTCTACGTATCCTCCGGGGACTTATGCACAATTTAACAAATAATTCATACTTCACAAAGGATCCACACCTATCAAGAAGGATAAATGAATATATTATTAAGCTAGGAATGCAGTATATAACTAGTGACAGAGTATAATGTAAGTAAAATTCACCACTGAAGTGGGTTCGTGGCCTAACAAAATGGACATTCTGAACTGCAAGTGAACAGTGAAAGTAGACTGAAGCTACAATATAAGAACTAATACATATGTAAATAAGTTTTAAAACAATATAGAAGTACACAATCCTGATTTCTACAACCTCAAGTGATAATTGTTACACAACAAGCGTAAACTAATTTATGGGTCACCGTCAACATGTTAACAAATATGCATACCCTCAAGAGCACGTTTGTTTACGTTCAGAGATTCTTTCATCACGGTTTTCCCTTTTCACTTGCGCTGTGCGGAGGCCGAAGTTATAACGAAAATCTCGTAGTTAAGGTTACTGCATACGGGAAAATATCGGCGAATTCGCCGTTTCAGAATGTAATGCATTCTGGTTAATATAATCAAATGCGTACACCAAAACGTTGTGATTGGTTAAAAACGTTCTAAACAATGAAAATTCAACCAATAACGTAACGTTATTTTCATTTTGGTATACGAACAATGAGATTACCCAAAGTCCTTTGGATTCTGAATAGGCGAGTCAGTCTATAATTCAATATCGATACATTTATTAAGATTTTGATAATGTGAGGATTTTCTTTTAAAAAAGTTTACGTTCACTTCTTTTAGAGTAAAACTTAGCCATTCAAGTATATAAAACATTTTCAACTTTTTTTTTAATTTGAAGTTTCATATCACTTGAATGCGTTTTATTATTTAATTGTTTCTTAATCACAATGTTTTTAATACTTTAATCTCAAAGCAAAGTTAGAGATACAAATCATGTATACATATTAAAAATGATAAATAATGTATTGGTTTGGGGAATTTTAATCAATCAATTTTATATTTACTAGAAAGAAAATAAGATTTTCATTTTTGAAATTAAAATAAAATCTGACATTTAAATAACGTTCAATTCATAAGGTAAAATGAGAATGGAAATCATCAAATGGGGAATATGTCAAAGAGACAACAACCCGACCAAAGAGCAGACAACAGCCGAAGGTGTTCATATAAACTGAAAAGAAAAATCGAAAAAAAATATTTTTCGGTCTCCATTTCTCATCTGACACATTTGTACAGGTAAGTTGCGAAATATTAAAAAAAAAACTTACACCTTCATACCTTTACTTAAATGCTATTTTCTATTAGCTCTCACTAAGTCCAGCAACAGAAAATCATCACTTTTAATAACAAAATTATCACTTTCAAGAACTTGCTTGATTGAATATATCAATTATGACAGTTGTGAAATTTCCCTTGATCTTGAATATAATTAATTGTTTAACAATCATTTAATCTCTTTTATCTACATTATCCTTTGGTGTTTAAGTGTGCTCAATACTTAGCGGTAAATTTAACCCAATTAAAGAAACCACTTCATTTCACTAATTGAATAAACACAAGCTTGAAGTCCTATACATACAGCCCCTAAAATTATCACTTCAGTACTCTTCGCCATGTCTAACTTCTACACACACAACAAAGACCCGTCAGCAGTCATTGACTATTTTAGATAACACAAATTACTTGCAGATACCTGAAATTGTCATTCATGTCAGATGCCAATGGAAATCACCACTAGAACAACTAGCAGCTTTCCAGATGGATGGGGATGGAGATGTTCAAATAGCAGATGTTCCAAAAGTCGCATCTTTAGAACAATTCGTGCAGGGTCATTCTCTAAAAGGTCACGTATTTAATTAGATAAATGATTGTACATAACCTACATGTGGAGCAAAAGGAACAAAAGTGTCAATATCAGCAAAAAGTTTCGATACATCGAAAAAGTCTACCATCCAAATGTTTCATTATCTCAGAGAAGTCTGTTCAACAAAATGAATCCAGACACCAGCACTACTAGGTGTACCAGGAGTGGATGAACAAAGAGATGAAAATTCAACCACAAGGCTAAACACAACCGTGGAAGGGGAACTAAAAAGGAAGGTGAACTCTGGGTATTTGGACCTGAGTATACTTCGTTTAAGCCTGCAATAACTTACAGGGAGCTGGTGCCAAAGAGAAATAAAGACACTTTTGCAAATAATTCAACGTATAGTGCAACCAGGTTCAATCATTTATTCTGACCAGTGGAGATCCTACAACAAAATTCAAGATAAACTCAACCTAGAGCATGCTGAAGTAAACCACTTGCTGAACTTTGTTGATCAAGAAACTGGTGTCTATACCCAGACCAGAGAGTCTTACTGGGCCAAAGCCAAGTACAAACTAAAAGAAATGAAAGGTGTGTCTTCAGATGCTTTGCCATCATACTTAGATGAGAGAATGTGGGTAGAAAAGTGGGCTAGAACTGGAGAAGATGCTTTCATGAACATCATTCTACGCATTGCTGTGCAATATAAGGTTTAAAATAGACAGCATTGAACTTTGTTGATGATTTGTTATTCTCATTCATTATTAATGCTTGCTTTTCTGAAAAATTAAATAATGTAAATTCAGAAATTATAGCATGCATTTACTATTGTATTTTTTGGAGAAAGAACAAAAATGCGAGCTTGATTATTGCGATTTTAGGAACAAGAGTGCACACACTGAAATGTCTCGCCTGCTTTATTGATCATTGATTTTATGTTGATAGTCCTTAATATAATGCTTTACTATAAGTATCACATAAACTTAACATGATCCAAGAAAATGATGTCAAGGTCAGAAAAACCAAACTGGAAATTTATGTACACCTTACAATAATTCCATACACAAAATATAGTTGAGCTATTGCATCTAGTTTCTAAGAAACAAACTTAACCAGGAAAATTTAACATTGACCAATGAACCATGAAAATGAAGTCAAGGTCAGATGAACCATGCCAGACAGACATGTACACCTTACAATCAATCTATGCATTAAATATAGTTGACCTTCTGCTAAAAGTATCTCAGAAACAAACTTAACCATGAAAATTTAACATTGACCAATGATCCATGAAAATGAGGCAAACGTAAGATGATACCTGCCAGAAAGACATTTACACCTTACAATCATTCCATACACAAAATATAGTTGACCTATTGCTTATAGTATCTGATATATGGACTTGACCATGAAAACATAACCTTGCTCACTGATCCATGGAGCATGAGGACTTTGCAAGATACGAACATTCTAAATATAGTTATCCTATTACTCATAATAAGAGAGAAATTAACAATACAAAAAATCTTAACTTTTTTTTTCAAGTAGTCACTGAACCATGAAAATGAGGTCAAGGACAAGGGAAATATTACAGACGGACACTTCATAACATAAGGCATCTATATACAAAGTATGAAACATCCAGGTCTTCTACCTTCTAAAATATAGAGCTGTTCAGTAGTTAGTTAACGCCACCGCTGGACCACTATCCCTATGTCTAGCTTTATGAGACAGAAGTCACAGGCTCTACCAAAATTTCATACAGTGAACGTATTTTGCGATACTAAAGGAGTCGCATTATTCGCATTTATAAAAACCTAGCAATAATTTCTGAATTTACAACATAATAAAATAACATATCTTTTTAAAATGTAACTATATAAAATGATTAAATGATTGATAAACAAAAAAATAACTATCTGAAACTTTAAACTTTAATTTCTTAAGGGTTATGTGAATGTTAACAGTAATAACAATTGTAGCATATATATATACAAAGCAATAAAGAATGGATTGACATGGTTACATATGCAATGGTATAAATTGCATGTTTTATGGAATTTGAAGGCACATCAAAGGTATAGCGGACAGAACAATTTTACAAAATTTGGCAAGTTTGACAAGTAACCATTAGTCATTAGAATATAAAAGTTCCCAATACTTTATAGTTTTAGGCTTTTTATACACTTTACAGGGCAAAAGCCTTTTTCTTTCATTTGAGAAAAAAATAATTTAAACAGATAGCAAATTCCATCACTAGAATCACATAAAATGCACAATTCTCAGATTTGATCATCATGATTGGCACCCACAAACTGACCTTGTTATATTGGCAATTTATGATCTATAAACATAAAATTACAATATGCCTTTAGAATATCATATGGTAGATCAACAATATAACTTTAAAAATAATGGACTGTTTTAAAAACTCTATAGTTAAAACACTTACCTGAATCAAAACAGTTATAAATCTGTAACCCATGTTTGCTAATTGATTACAGAGACATTGTTTGACTAGAATTGATAAAATTACATTCTTTGGTACACTTTGTGACAGCCGCTACCTTTCAACTAGAATTACTTTCATTAAGTGATCACAGATACCCCTGCTAGCAGAAAACTCTTTAACGGTGATGCCAAACCAAAAATTCAAATTGAAAGATACTCGTTTTTTTGTGTTTTACATCCACTTGTTCAAATTTAAATTATTTCGAAAAAAAAGTAAATAAAAATTTAAAGTTTACTGAGGGAAAAAAGTAAATCAAAATTTATAGTTAATTAAGAGAAATAACTCTTTCAACAGTAAATGTCAAAACTGAATGAGACTTGTATTTATTGATTCACGTTATTGTGTTTATAGTTCAAAAGATTTGGTAGAGTGATACTTCAACTATCTTCTAGAAATTATTCTTCTAAAAGGGTAAGTAAGGGGCATAACTATTGATCACTTAATTTGAATAATATTCTGTTCGAATTTCAAAGATTTGGTCAAGGGTGAAACAAACAAAAATACAAAATATCCAGAGAACTTAGACCATAACTAATGAACAATAAATGTCAAAACCATGTAAATCAAACTTTTACCTTAATTTTATTGTCCATGAAATATTGTACTTAATTCCAAATGATTTGGTCAAGCAAAACTGTCTTTATCACTTGGAAATCAAATTAAACCTGACTTTGAAGATACTAAGTAAGTGGCATAATTAAGGTATTGGACAGTCAATGTAACAAGAGTGCACACACTGAAATGTGATTTATCTTGATTGAATTTATGTTGAAAGTCTGTAATATATAGGTTTTCCTACAAGTATCACATACACTAATCATCATCAAAGATCCATAAAAATGAGATCAAGATTAGATGAACCATGCCCAGATATAAATGAAACCTGCCAGTGGGACACCCAAATCTTACAATCAATCCATACACAAATTAAAGTGGTCCTATTGCTTACAGTAATTGTGAAATAGACCAAATCACAATAACCGAACATTGTCCAATGAATCATGAAAATGAGGTCAATTTCAAATGAATCCTACTAGACACACATGTACACCTAACAATCCATCCATACATTAAATATAACTGACCTTTGCTTTATGTATCTGAATAACCCTCAAAAACTTCATATTGACCAATGAACCACGAAAAATTGATTCAGTTCATATAAACCTTGCCAGACAGACATATACACCTTACAATCATTACATACACCAAAAACTTTGCTGAAGCGGGCACTTTTATTTTCTATGTTCAGTGGACCGTGAAATTGGGATCACAACTCTTATTGTTTGTCTGTCTGTCTTGAAGTGGGACAGACCAATGAACAGACACACAGACCGCAAAACAAAATGCCCTAAGTAGGGCATAAAAATGAGTAGATTAATAAACAGATAAAATATAATAAAATAAATCAACAAGAATTAAATTTACTGCAATATACACAGTTCTTTCACATGACACAATGCATGATTTCCGGTCATACCGGCAAGGCTTTGAACACTTTAATATTAAAAGTTGTTAAGTCTCATAAAGTTTTCTATTAAAATAGATCTCGATTCTTCTGACAAAATATCTAATGGCTTAGAATAGTAAATAACAGCTCTGTCATCATTTTGGAGTAGATGGTTATTTTTCAGTTTGTCCAGATGAGTCCTTGACATAACAAGCAGTGTGAAAATTACCTGAAATTATAGATTAAATAATACATAAAAATAACACTTTGAAACGATCTTTCCTTCTCTTCCACTATGGAGGACACAATTCAATTGATTAATTTTATATATCAACCTGCTGTAAAACTTATTGATAAAACATTGTCATAAAAATTATATTACCATGATTAGTGGTTCCACAATTTTTGATAATATTTAAAGGGGCACTAGCTACTAGATATTTTTTGTTAATGAAAGTGAAATAGTGAAATAATAATTTGCCTTTAGCGGCCAGTATGGTTCAATTTTGTCAAAATAAGCTAAGAAACATTGATGATGAATTATTCACTTGCAAGTTTAGTTTAAACATATTTATTTATAGTGGATTGCATTTTGGGAAACAAGTTATTGCAACTTATATTAATTCCTTTCCACTTTGCAGTTGCGAGTGCTGCCTTGTAGAGGCAGTAGCCTGTTCTTTTTCGAAATCTACAAAGGTGTCTTTTACGTGCAAGAGATATGTCTCTCTCTTAACAAGGGTCAGCCATTTATAGTCCCCTTACGACAGACTATCATTGTTTCTCAAGACCATACTCGCAAATGGTGTCGAGGGAAAGCCGAAAAATTCAGTTCCTGAAATTTTCTCCCCGGAACAGGGATCAAACCAGGAACCTTTGTGTTAGTAGTCCGATGTGCTAACCACTACACCATTGCTCTCCTAAGTGAATAATTCAACCTCATTGAATCCTTATTCTTTATTCAGGTAAAAACAATGGTTAACATATATTTTTAATCTATAATTTAAATTAAACAGACTTAGAAAAATCCAATTCCACGAGTTCACTATCTATTAATATCTATATTTATGTTTATATCGCTTATATGACCATCATAGGACTTCGGAGGTCAACTCGATTGTTAATTAGATGGCATCTAGACTCAAATACACACAAAACGAAGCTACATATTATTGAGCCCATGCCCTGTAAATTGTTTATTTTAGACTTTTTATAATTTGGATAAATGTTTTACATTGTTATAAATCAAATATGAGAATTTTAGTCAAATTGGAAAACATGAATTTGACAATAAGTGCCCCTTTAAAACTTTTAAAAGAGATATTGATTCTTTGGACACCATTGAATAATTCATCCTGTACAGAGACCTGTAAATTAACAAGAATGTTTCCATAGTACATGGATGCCCCACTCGCACTATCATTTTCTAAGTTCAGTGGACCGTGAAATTGGGGTCAAAAACTCTTAATTTGGCATTAAAATTAGAAAGATCATATCATATCATAAGGAACATGTCTAATAAGTTTCAAGTTGATTGGACTTCAACATCAAAAACTACCTAGACCAAAAATTTAACCTGAAGCAGGACAGACAGTGGAACAGAGACACAGACCGAAAAAACAAAATGCCCCTAGGTGGGGAATAAAAATCCTCAAAAGATTAGAAATGTCCTAGAAGTGAACAAAAAGTTACAAAAAAAACATTTTAGATAGATTTCAGTGAAAAATAAATGAGGAGTGTGTTCATGGGACACAGATGATGCCCCTCTTGCATATAATTTTATAAAGGGACATAACTGTAAAAGTGAAGCTACCCGAATTTGTACTTGATCTGAGTATTGTGGTAAGAAGCATTTTTTTATACTTTCATAACATTTAGTCGAGGCAAACTTCAGTTAGAGAACAAAACGAAAAAATTCATCTATTGTTCCATTTGTAAAGGGGCATAGGTCTAGAACAGTAAAAGTAAAGCCACCAAAATTCGAACTCGATCTGTGTTTTGTGGTAAGTAACTAGCATTGTGCATAAGTTTCATAACAATCTGTTGAGGCAAACTGAAGTTAGTGAATGGAAACGAAAAAATCAGCAATTTTTCCTTTTGTAAAGGGGCACCAAAATTCAAATTTGATCGGTGTTTTAAGATAATAAGCATTAAGTATAGGTTTCATAACATTTGGTTGTGGCAAACTAAAGAAGGGAAACGAAATGTTTAGCAAACTTTCCATTTGTATTACCTTTGTATGATAAATCATGTGTATTATTGTATATTTACCTCATGTTACACATATATGGGTCTGAGTGTTGCTTTACAATAAAATCTTGAAATCTTGAAATCAAAATTCTCACTTGATTAGTGTTTTCAGGTAAAAAGCATTGTGTATAAGTGTCATAACATTTGATTGAGGCATACTAAAGTAAGAGAAAGAAAACCAATTTTGAGATGTAAGTATGAAAGGACATACAGATGGACAAGGGTAAATCGTTATGCCCCTTCTGCTAAGGCAGGGGCATAAAAACTACAGTTACAGAGGTAGAATTAAATCAGGTGATCATCAATGAAGAAATTTTTTCACTTTCTAAATAAAGTAACAAACTTATTACGACCAAAGTCAGAATGTTTTGGTGTACTCTCTCGATTAACAAATATCAGCCCCAGCGGTAAATGCTTTCACCTCTATTTTAAAGAAATAAATCCTTTACTTGTAAATAAAAAAAATTGTTGTTTCATCAACTTGGTAAAAATGGAAAATTGCTGATGATGAAAGTGACAATTGTGACCATAACCAGTGATTTTCCTGCCTTTATTTTAGGTCCGAATATCGGCCCTGTTTCCAATAAAAAAATACCTTAAAAAAAATTCAATTGAACCCGTAAAATTCCCAATTCAATCAAGTTGTAGCGGAAAGGTAATTGATAATTTTATTGTTCGTATGATTTGGTTCAAAATATAGGTTGTTGTACTGTTCCCGATGTAATCCTGTTGAATATAGACAGGTAACTATCATATTACAACCGTAAACCAGTTTTTACAATGAGTAAGCTTAGTCATGTTAGTTCAGCATTTGGATCATGTCTGGTGGTTAACGGTAAGAATTTGGAATGATATGAAGTGATGATGCTGTATTATTATTTGAATAACTTTGTAAATACATGTCAAGATGAAAAACTAAAAGGTTTTCATTATTTTCTCTCACGTAATTTTTTTTTCGAGTAGCAATGTCGTACTAAGCAAAGATTTGCCGGTTTTGTTTAATTATTTTGCTGTGAATTGAGCATGCCCAAACAGACAACATGTCCTCTCATTATTCAAAATATTATCTTCGCAAATTAAAAAAAAGGCAACGATGCAACTGATTGTAAAAAACTTGTTTAGCTTTAAAAAATCAAAAATTAGTACTGAAGATACTACAGGGACTGATATATTTTGAACAAAAATGTTTCTACTTTTACAGATGTAGAACAGGATGAAGCGGTGGTTTATCAGATAAAGGCACTTAACAGTCAGGGGACTTAGTAGCAAATTAGGTCTAATGAAACTCCGGTAATTTTAAATCGTGTGTGGTCGTTTGCGGTATTTTCTTGGAAAAAACTATTTTCCATCACCAAACAAAAGCTGAAACTGCTTGTAAATGGTTCTAAAACACTTCACGCTGGTTAAAATAAGTCTAAATCACACAAAAAACAATTTAGAAACTTGTGTATGTTTAAACCGGAAGTTTGAAAAGCATGTGTAAAAGATGAAAAAACCCGGTGAGAGTCGAAATCCGTACATAATAGATATCACTATAATACGACTTTGAAAGTAAAACAGTTCCCTCCTTATGTAAAACAGTGTTTAATATATCTATCACATTAATGTTTGAAAGGTCTTAAGCTAATACAAAACATATTTGTCAATAGGAAACACCAAAACTGAATGAATAATAACCGATTACGTTTTGTAGTTTACACATCGTATGCTGGTTTACAGTTGTCTTTTTTTACTTTTTTTGTACGATTTCATTCAAACAGATACCAGTTTATATTGAGCAATGCATTGAAAAGAAACGAGAATTTTGTAATGAAGCATTTAATTTTTAAATTTATCAGTATTAATTTGATATTGATTAAAAATAACTTATTTATATGGATTGAGTAAAATTATTGGTTTTAAAAATGATAAGAGCGCCGTCTACAATGTCAATAACAAACAAGGCGGAACATAAACAAACCACACATCGCGAAATTGAAATTTTCTCTCTTAATTCTTGCTTATTGTACTCTATAGTCCGCACCCCTGCTGTCAGGGTCAATTTTGGAGAATAAAACCGCGGACTATAGAAGCCTTTTAACGGTAGCTGTAAATTCTATTTTAGTTGAAAAAATGCTATAATAAAGGCTTAACATAATGAACTGATACTTTCTTAACATATTTTTCCCTGTAAAATTCAAGGTTTCATCTTACAGATTATGTAATAAAATTCTACTGTTCGCGATCAAAATTTCACTGTTTGAATGTCTTGAAATTAGTGGGGGTTATGAAAATAATGATACTTAAAGAAGTGATTTTTTGGAAGGAAATTGAGGTATGATACTTAAACAAGTGATTTTAGTACAAGGTCATCACCTGACTTGACCGATCATCCTATCAATACAGATGTTGGTTCTGATAATTTTAGCAACATAATTAGTCCCTGGATCATTAGTATTGTATATTTAACGCTATAATAAAATTAAATCACTTAGTCTAGTGATTATTTGTACTACTTAAATAGGTGATTATTAAAGAAAGACAACTCTTACTTCCAACTTTTGTGGACATAATGTTACTTAAGCTTGAATCAGTGATTTAGAAAATCACTCATTTAAGTAAGTCCCCTGACTGCTTAAGCAGACACCTCAAACCCAAGTACTAACACTTAACAAATTGTTTCTACCCAAACACCTAATATAAGTCACTTGAAATGAACTCTGCTCATGTACAAAGAGAGACTGACTGTCAATCCCACTGTGAGCGCGACCATAATCAGTGAAAGTTGGCGACTCTAGCTCAGAACTAAGCACTGAAACATTATACCATACCATATAAGTGTCTGTGAGAGAAATCTTACTGACAAGAAAGCTTGCAATAAATCTCATGGTTGTATGACTGAGTTGATATGTTCAAATTAGAACATGAAAGAAAATTGGAATTTTAAAATAATAAATAGCATGTACAAATTGTGACTTGGATGGAGAGTTGTCTCATTGGCACTCATACCACATCTTCATATATCTACATCCATAAAATATGCTGAACACAATGATTTATTTTTTCCCAATTCATACATTATACGACACATTTTTCCCAAATGCCTAGGGCCCAGGCCCCATTTGATAAAGGGTAGGAAAATCACTGATAAGGGCAACTAAATATCCTTTTGAACTGTCCTGTAAAGAGGAGTGACTTCGTTCCCCTAGTGGCCCAATAGCATGATCCAAGATTACAATTAATAATCTTTTTATAACATTGAAAAAATTAAGACTAATCTGTGAATAAGCTTTTCCCTTCAATGTAAAAATTTCAAATGACACTGACCAGAATGTATTAATTTCTTTCATGACTATTACATAGCTAAGTCCATTACATCAAGGACAGAAGGCTGTATCATATGGCATAAAGTTGAAAACTGTAAAGCTAGCATCGTTTATTTGATTGATTGATTGTTGGTTTGTCTTTAATGCCACTTTTAGCACTATTGGCTATATAATGGCAGAAAGTCTTTATTGGTGGAGGAAGCCTGAGTACCTGGAGAGAGCCATCAGATCAGAGACGAACAAACCTACTTTTTGAACTAACCTCATTGTTGACAGGCTATAGATTGTTGTAGATGAACTACTTGGACCACTGTACATGTGTTACTGAGGTCCAAGCACATTTATTAGAAATAATATAAAAATAAGAAGATGTGGTATGATTGCTAATGAGACAACTCTCCACACGAGACCAAATCACACAGAAATTATCAACTATAGGTCACCTAACAGCCTTCAACAATGAGTGAAACTCATACCACATATATATAGTCAGCTATGAAAGAACCCAAAATGACAATTGTTAAATAAGACAACTAATGGCCTGATTTATGTACAAAATAATGAATGAAAAAAAAAATATGATATAAGGCAACAAACAACAACCACTGAATTACAGGCTCCTGACTTGGTATAGGCACATACAGAATGTGGCTGGGTTAATCTAGTTTGTTGGGCCAAACCCTGCCCCTAACCTTAAACAGTGGTGTAACAACACAGCATAATAAAACTATTTTTTGTTAAAAGAGTTTACCTTTGTCTGGTCAATAATCATGCCTGGCATAGTCAATTCAGATTCTGTTGTTGATTCTTGGTATCTTTTCAGATCTAAAAGCAGCTCACCACCATGCTGTCCAAGAACTCTAGTATTAGCAATTCTTTGTATAAGAGGTCGATCAGCTTCTTGTTCACCAACTGTTAGCCATGAACATGAGCCAGATGAACTAGAACTTGAATCATTCAGAAAGTAAACATCAGGTGAAAGTTCTCTTGATCTTTTCCTTACTTTTCTAACTTCTATTGTGTTCTTAATCTAGAAACAAAGACATTTAATTAAATATGCAAAATTCATCATGTAAATTGTTTTACATTTGAAGATAAAAGACCATTTTACCTCTTTCACAATTAGTTGAGTAACATAGCCATGATAGCAGTCCTCGAAATTAGCCCATGACCGACAGGACATGTCCTGTAAAAATATATTCGGTTCTGTCAATTTTTGTTAATTTTGTAATACATTCCTAAAAAAATTTGAAGAATCATCAATTCAGACCTGTAAATGCCAAACCCAATTTCTATGACTGACATAGTAATTAGAGCATTGTATGAAGTTATCAACAATAATCTTTAATATAGTCACTGTGTAGTCACTTTTGTCGACCTCTATCATGTTTATAAATCAAGACAGGCATCCAATGTCATGAGCATTTATAAGTAGTTCAGTGGTTGTCCTTTTTTCATGTCTGTTTCATATATGTGTTTTGTAAATTGTTTTGTTATAAATTAGGCCGTTAGTTTTCCCAATTGAATTGTTTCATATTTTTCGTGTCGGAGCCTTTTATAGTCGACTATACAGTATTATTTTTTCTCATTGTAGGCAGTACGGTTGCCCACAATTGCTTAAATCCACTTCATTTGAACTTTGGTGGATAGTTGTCTCATTGGCAATCATACCACATCTCCTAATTCTTATATTCCCTACAGTGACTGTCACGGCATACTGTGTTATTTCAATACAAATAAAATGCTCTGCAGGGCGCAGCTCTGAATTTGGATTGTGATTAAATATTTGACACAGCATAGGTTTCTGACACAGAATGAATGTGGTCTAAGAACTTAAAAAATTTAAATTTACCTATTATGGTCCAATATCCAAAATCTAAATACTGTAAAAGCAGAAATTTTCGTGGAGGATTTAATTTCGTTTATTTCGTGGAAAGAATATATCCACGAAATTAAAACCCCCACGAAAGTTTAACCTACACATAATATCCCTTCCATTTACTGGAAACCACGATATTAAATCCCCATGAAATCTTATATAGAGACAAAACCACGAAATTTTAACCCCACGAAAATTAATGTTTCTACAGTACATGGTTAGATTTGGCATATCAAAGAACCCCAAGAATTCAATTTTTGATGAAATCAAACAAAGTATAATTTTAGACCCTTTTGACCTCAATGTGGACCAATTTGATAAGGGGGCCCAAAAATCAAAAATCTAAATACACAGTTAGATTGGGCATATCAAAGAACCCCAATAATTCAATTTTTGATGAAATCAAACAAAGTTTAATTTTGGACCCTTTAGACCTCAATGTGGACCAATTTGATAATGGGGCCCAAAAATCAAAAATCTAAATACATGGTTAGATTCAGCATATCAAAGAACCCCTATATTCAATTTTTGTTGAAATCAAACAAAGTTTAATTTTGGACCCCGATTTGGACCTACTTGAAAACTGGGTCCATAATCAAAAATCTAAATACATGTTTAGATTCAGCATATCAAAGAACCCCAAGAATTCAATTTTTGTTAAAATCAAACTAAGTTTAATTTTGGACCCTTTGGACCTTAATGTAGACCAATTTGAAAACGGGACCGAAAATTAAAAATCTAAATACACAGTTAGATTCGGCATATCAAAGAAACCAAAGAATTTAATTTTTGATGAAATCAAACTTAGTTTAATTTTGGACCCTTTGGACCTTAATGTAGACCAATTTGAAAATGGGACCCAAAATTAAAAATCTAAATACACAGTTAGATTTGGCATATCAAATAACCCCAATAATTCAATTTTTGATGAAATCAAACAAAGTTTAATTTTGGACCCTTTGGACCTCAATGTGGACCAGTTTAAAAACGGGGCCAAAAATCCAAAAAATTAATACATGGTTAGATTCAGCATATTAAAGACCCCCAAGAATTCAAGAATAAAACCCTGTTGAAATTGGTCAAGAAATAAGCAATTTATACAAAGTATTAGAAAAGTATTGTTGTTGGCCCCTTTTTGGCCCCTAATTCCATAATTAGGCCATAACCCCCAAAATCATTCCCAACCTTCCTTTTTTGGTATGGAACCTTGTGGTACAATTTCAGAAAGATCTATACACTTACACACAAGTTATTGTCTGGAAACTAGAAAAATGCTTATTTGGACCCCTTTTTAGGCCCTTAATTCCTAAACTGTTGGGACCATTACCCCCAAAATCAATCCCAACCTTCCTCTTGTGGTTTCAAACCTTGTGTTTAAATTTCATAGAGATCCATTCACTTAAACTAAAGTTATTGTCCGGAAACTAAGTGTCTTCGGACGACAACAAATTTTTTTGCGGTTGTATAAAAAATCATAGCAGGTCCTTGAAATATCTTGTTTACATAACTTTTGTAAATGTTTTCATTTGCACATCACGGTGACGGTCACCATAGAAATGTGTGAATGGCAAAGGTAATAGCATGTTTTTATGTTGAAAAGATTTGTTAAGATCTTCACCTTTATGCGATTTTAAATTCAATTTAGTATTATTTTGAGATGAATAAACATACAAATACCAACTCTAGTAAAATAGACTATTTTAAATAACATACTGTTTTTATTTAAGAAATAATTCCATCATGTTATGCTCTATGCTCATTTTAACTTGGGTAGGCATTATATTTGTCGATATTTGACACTGACCAGTTTTTATTGGTTGAAACGTACAAAAATACCTTAGATGTTTGGCTGTTCCCATTTCCTCCCCGTGCAGTATGTACATTACATTACATTTTTATACTTAATAAGTTTAAAAACTATAAGGAGTGTAAATTTATGTTGTTTGATAAACAATATATAATAAAAGTTTATGCAATGCAAGCAGCTTTAATGTATATATTTTATTTGGATAAAAATGAAAAAAACGAGAATGAAAACAGTAATTTTGTGCCAATGTTACAAACATACTTTGTGCTAATTAGAACAAGGCTTTGTATACATAGCATAATAAGGACGTCATATTAGAATCAACTGTAACATCACTTAACATATTTATGCTAGCATTACACAAATCAGTATACAAACATGAAAAGACTAATAATATAGTCCATACACCTAATGCAAGGCCTCAGTGTGACTTTGAGATCACGAACAGCAAAAAAAAAGCGCTGTTCGTTTGCTTTGTATGTGTTTTTGCTGTGCATGTGCTGATTTTGTGTCATGGAAGGATACCCCATATTCTTTGTTTTTCTTAGGATAAATTCAGTGTGCTGTATTGGTAAAAAGTAGAAAGTGCAACACTACTGGCATGAGCTGCTATAAGGATCCCATATTTGTGCTAAAATTCTTGTACTGTTGCAGGGTTGTTTCCTGTCATGCAAAAGTGTTTTATGCAGAACTTGATGTATAAGATTTTATACCATACCTCGTGATTTCTACTGTGGCTATGTCTGCTGTTTCTTGATTTAATTGTTTTAAAAGCAATGGTTCAGAGAATGTATTTTTCTATAGGGATATTCAATTTTTCTTAATTCTTCACATGATTTTACCATAATTATTGTATAAAAATGTAAGGACTCTTTCTTGATTTTTTATTATTTTTTGAAGAAAAAAAAGTTTCAATACAAAAGTTATTAAGATTAAATTAATAAATAGATAAATAAATAATTGTAAATCTAGGCAGCTGAATCTGTTTCAGGATGTTTGCTACTCTGTTTCAAAATAACAAGCTTTTTTAAAGACTGTTATAAATTGATAGTATATAAATAAAGGAAGTGAAAAAGCAGAAAAAAATGTAGGGTCCGTGTGCTTGTTTTAGAGATATAAGCCATTGAAATTTTGGCGGGAAATAATTCTCTCTAGATTTTTCTCACATTTAACATTGGCACCCTTTTTCTTTCAAAAATTATGGAAAAATAACAAGGATTTTATAGGATTTTCAAATATGGCTTTTAGTAATAAAATTATAAAAAGAAAAGTAGGGGTTAGCGGGGAAATTTTTTTAATGACACTACATTGATAAAACCAAAGGATTCCGAATAGCTGGCAAAAATTCAAAAACAAGAGGAGCGAACATCCTTAAGCACTTTCTAATTCATTTTAAAATGTTTAACTGTCATACAGCTTTCTAAAATATATATCAGTAAATCAGATGTGTGTTTATCAAATTTCAAATCTGAATAATGGTTACACTTCAATGTCACATTTCTTACAGTTTAATTCAAAGAACAATTATAATTCAAATAATATCTTTTCTCAATGGCAAATTTAACATGTATACATGAGCAAATGATGAGTAAAACTGTAAATGAAGAAATATTTTTTTGAAGTTATCATCATTGCAAAATGTGCAAGTGAAAATTGCAAAAAGATAGGATTTCCATGTATAAAAACTGTTATTTCAAATTTTGATATCATTATTTGTCAATTTTGTACATGTTGTATGGAGTGTTTGTAGAAATCGCAGTAATTAACCTCACATTTTTGTAAATTTTTCAACAATTGCAAAAATAAATCCATACTATAATTTCTGAATTTACACAATAGTAAATATGTACCTGTATGGTAGTTCTACTGCTGTATTGTAAAATGAGAAATTATGGTAAACTCCTGATGCTTAAAAAAAGGCATCATAACTCAGATGAAAACAAATAAAAATTCAAGCAAACCTCTAACACAGTCACCATGCTATCTGTCTTCCTTTGTTCAAGTCCACATTTAAAAAATCTTATGTCTGGCTCAGATATTACAGTATAGTTTGCTAGATTGTGCCAAGTTGTTTCTTGTCCTTTTCCACACTTTCTGCAGTGAAAAAAATATAGAATTATGCAGGGTGCAGCAGGTACAACTGCAAGATGTTTACATTAAGGTGGTACCCAACACCTTGACTAATATTAATTTTGCTCGTTTACTTTTCATAAAATTTTGACAAAATGTTTACTTTGACCCTTTGACAAAAATATAAAAATTTCAAAAAATTTCAACCAACCACTTTATCAGAAAAATTTCCTTGGTTATATAGTAGTTTGACAAACACTAATTTTGATCATTGAGAAGCTTAATATTTCCTTAACAAAACAACGTGATTAAAACGTTTAGCTGATTTTTATAGAGTTATCTCCCTGTAGTGTTAGGTACCACCTTAAACATGGAAATAGTACTGTATTTGTACTTTTTTTACATTCATTTAACTTAACTTCATCTCCTTCTAGGTAACTAGGTATTGTGTGCAACTTATTAGGGGTATTCTTCATATACAATTGTATAAAGCCATAAATAACATCTTTTTTTACATTTAAAGATGATAAAGGATCCAATTGAACATGGTTTGAAATCTTTATGTATCAATGTTTCCTGAGTAAAGAACAGTGCTATGTGCATGTTTTCGCAATAGCAATAACTATTCCAATCAGAACAATTACCTGTTAGAGGTACAGTAAATTGAGTTTGAATTTGTCTAAACATTTTGATGGTTTTGACATATATGCATGTACATGTATATTGATAGGGTTAAACTTCTGCTCTTTCAATAAGTTTTCTATTAAATTTGTACCTGGTAAATAAAAAAGTTGCAAGCTGAGAAAAGATTATGATGAGTGCACGAGATAAATCAATGCATACACTAACAAACAAGACAGAAATTTAAACAAACAAACATGTTATGTTAGACCACTACCAAGACAACTTTTTGATTTACCATTTCTTTTTTAACTTACAGTTTTCACGCTTAAAGCCAAAAATTGCAAAACAGTCAAAATTCCTCATCAAAAGCCAAAGACCTACCAGTATATAAAATAAGAAGTTATTTGACAGTTTCAGTAGTAATGACCAATTATAGGTAGATCTTGACATTCTGAACATTTCATATACTGTACCATTAACTTACACTGCTTCCAAACAGCATAACTCAGCAAAGGCTGCAACAAACTGAGTAAATAGTTCCTCATATGGCTTAAAACTCCTGAAGGCATGCTGAACATCTTCTAAAAGACGATCAAGAGCCATTATAAATCTTCTTACTTTAAAGGTTACAAGCCTACAATAAAAGAAGAAAAAAATGTTCACTTTGTACTGTAAAAAAAACCCCATTCAGTTAAGGTATAAATGTAACAGTTTACAACACATTCTCAATTTAGTTAAAATATATATTAGACCGTTGGTTTTCCCGTTTATATGGTTTTACACTAGTCATTTTTTGGGGCCCATTATAGCTTGCTGTTCGGTGTGAGCCAAGGCTCTGGGTTGAAGACTGTAATTTGTCCTATAATGGTTTACTTTTACAAATTGTGACTTGGGTGGAGAGTTGTCCCATTGGCACTCATACCACATCTTCTTACATCTATAAAGAACTGTAAGAATTGCCGCGTCTGCTTACCTTAGATTAAGTGCATAACCGCACCGATGCTCTTGGATGGCTCTTTGCTGGCTGTTAGCGTCTGCTTTAAGTATCCATTATTCCAAAGAGGGGGATTCTGGGTACTTCCGGTAGATCGTCTAAAGATGGTGTGACTAAATACCTACCGGGGTACTACACTCCCCCCAATTTTATCAATTAAGACCCCCCATATAACAAGGGGTCCCCTTGGGTATGAATACACTAGATGTTTCCCTAGGCCCTTCCATAATAAAACAATGTAACAGGATACATAACAATAGGAAACATTAAAAAAGTACTTACATTTATGTACACCCCTATCAGTTCATTTGTGTAGCCAGATCCATTACATTGGCCTGGAGGGGCTAAACCTGTCCGAGGTCCCCAAGCTAAGAGTAGCCAGGGATGATCTGTCAGGCTTCATCCACATTCCTCCTAATGTGAATGGTAAAAATGGCCAAACAAGAAACAGCTTACCTTTTCCATCTTATGAGGTTATATATCTCCCCCACATCATCCCCTTTTAAAAATTAGATCCCTATTCCCCTTTGAAGAGGATCAACCTGCACTGCTGGCATGTCCCCTGCTTGGTTGATCCCCTAGTTCCCCTCCCTACAACTGGAAGTCATACTCAAACTGGACGGGCTGGGTTGGAAGTATCCCCTCAATGCCCTCCTTTTGAATGACTCCTTTTCCTTCCCTTTGTGGATTGTCTAAAATCCCACACACACCATTGTTTTCTAACAGTGGATGCACTGTGAGCAACTGCTGATTGTGTTCTAAGAAAGCAATGCCTGGGTCCCATTGCTGTGACTGTTCTCCATTCATCTGAGCTTCTTCTGCCTCGGCCTGCTCCACTCTTTCTACCCAGTTTCCAACCTCCCTCAACATCTCTGCTGTCCCTTCGGGCATCAAACCAAGGGCACCCTCCCCAATTTTCATCTTTGAACACTCATCTTCTTTCAAAGCTTCAAACGTGCTAAAAGGGGCCTCCCATGCAAGACCAGACATTGTTGAGACCAAGAGGTTCGGGGCACCCCTCTCTCTGACAAAGGATTGGGTCCTTGATGTTGTACTACCCCTGCCTTGAACACAGTTGTACCCCCTGGCCCTTCTTGACCATGAACTGGGCTCAGAGAACGGTTTCCTAATTTTTGAGACTCACGTTCACATGACTGTATAGTTTCGGGTAACTCTACAGGTAGTTGATTTAAAGGAGACTCCGGTTTGGAACATGACATTACGGGGCTGGTGTTATTTATTGGGTCCCCCTCTTCAGTCCCCGGAATTTGTTTTTCAATATGTAACTCCCCTAATGGTATCTTTGAACTCATATCCATCCCCTCTGGCATGTGACCTGCTGTTTGAAATGGATTGAGAATGAAGGACTCACCAACAGAAACTTCCTCTTGTAATAGCCTTTGACCCTTGACCTGTGCCCCAGTGCTGACTTATCTCTTCCAGAAGGGTGTCTGTATGGGGTTGAATGATGTCCTCAGAACAACCTTGATTGACTGCATTGACCCTGGAAGTAAGGGGGCTATCAAACATGAGGCCCTGTACTGGTTTTTTCTTTGAGTTAATCTTCTGTTTAAAGGATAGCCCTCTTGGGAGGTCCAATTGGTCCCCCTGGGTAGCACTTATTTGACTTATTGTACCTGTCCTAATCCTATTTGCATAGGTGGGGTGCTGGTTTATTTTGAGGTCCTCAATACTTCTGTGTATGGGGGCCAGACTCAGACCTCTGGAGTCGACCCGTTGAGTTTAACGGACCCTTAGTGTCCTCAAAAGTAAGTTTCTTGCCCCCTGGTTTAGAACTTGCTTGCAAGAAATTAGGGCATTCCGTTTTAAAATGGCCTACCTCACAGCAGTGGGAACAGCCTCCCCCTGGGGACCTTTGGGAAGGACTCCCAGATGCTTTGTGGGCATTGTTTCTGGCAGGAAAGGTTAACCTCTGAATCTCTGACAATAAATTCCCCAGACTTCCCTGTACCTCCCCTTTCAAAGTGCTAAACTGGGTTTGCAACTCCCTTACTTCCCTCGGGATGGAAAGCCCAGTGACTTCCGACTTGGTAGTGGAACAGACCAGGTAATTATTAAGCCCCTTTCCTCGGGTGTCCGGGCTGACACTTTTTACCTCCTTCCTGGAAGACCGGCCATAGATAGCTTGGTGATTATGCTGATGCCACCGTATTTTATCCACCGCGTGCTCAATGCTTTGGGGCTTAACATTGGAGGCCAACATTCCCGCCTCCTTGTCTGTGGCCCCCTGACATAACCTCATGACTGCCTGTTGATACATATGGTCCTCGGGCAGGTGGCGAAATGCTTTGGTGGCAATGGACAAGACTCTGTCGGCCCAGTCCTCCAGGGTTTCGTCCCTACCTTGCTGGGCAACGTTAAACTGAACCTGGGCTGTTTCAGGCAACTCATAAAACCCAAAACGTTTGGCCAATTTATGAACCAGGTCTTCATAGGTCAGGTCATGCCTTCTTTCTACCAGTAAGGCATAAAACTCGCTTGGTTTTCCGTCCAAGGACCAACACAACTGGTCCTTGCACTGACTGGGGGACCACCCGCTTACCTGAGCCAGTCGGGAAAATTTGGCATAAAAGGCCTGCCAATTTGTTTTTCCATCATACCTGAGGGTTCTTTGTAGGATTGGAGGTCTACCCCCTGGGGGACCCCTATGTGGGTCTTTGACTCTCTGGGTGTATGCCCCCACAACTCCCTCCTGCCGCCCAAAAGCATCTCATTGTGAGCTTGAGTGTTTTCCTGTTCTCAGTCTTGTTGCCCCTTGATACCAGTTGCTACTGACATGCCTTGATGCTGGGATTTCACTTTCCCCATTGAAGTCCCGAAACCTTGGTGTCTCCTTTTCGGTATACCTGTTGGCTAGGCCCCCCGTTTCCTTGTAGGTATCCCCAGGGTTACTGTCCCAAGGTGTTTCGCCCTCGTACCTATAATCTCTGGGTTGACTATACAGGGGACTTTGCCTATCCCCCTGTCTATTTTCTTCAGTGGGGTTAGCCCCCTGTCCTGATATCCCCCACTTTCTTCCCCGAAACTTTGGTGAATTTCCCCACATTCCTGAAAGTCCTGGCTCCTCCCGAAAGGGGGGAAAGATGACCGAACTAACATCTCCTCCCTTGGTGTTATTTGCACTGGGGTCCTTAGCTCCGGACTAGACATAGCCTCTCCAACATAACCAATTGCTTCCCCAGGGGTAACATATCCTGGTTCCCCGGGACCCATACCCCTAGTCTGTATTAAGCTCTTCATTCGCTGCACTTTTTCTCTGGGCCCCCTTTCCTCTTTTGCCCTAGGATCTCCCCTTCCACAAATCCCCCAATTATCAGACAAATGACTAAAATCCATGACCTCCTGGGCGGCTGGTGTCAACCTTAAATACTGTATCTGACTCAGGTCCTCAATGTCAAGGACCCCTAGATCATCCCTTAATTCGCATATTTTGCCTGCAATTTTAGGGCCCACCCCAGGAATGGATAACAACTCCTCAAAGGTGGCCAAATTAATGTTCACCCTTGCCATGTGAATGTTGTTCGATTTCAAATGTTTTCGAGTGTGATGTTGTGCAAGTAATTTTCAAGGATGCCAGATTTTTACATTGGTGCCTTGGAACTGTTCAATTTTACCTACCAGGTGTTGACAGTATATAATACAGGGAAACTTTTCGATTGCAATTTCCCCTAGAGAACCCCTCATACAATGTGAGATCCCCGAACACAGCAGGGGCAATATTGCTAATAATATCGGCTGCTAAATTCCAAACCCAGGAATTTATCAATCAATCACATGGGGTTCACACCTTTCCCTACAAGGGTCCCGCGAACGGCTAAGTGTGATACCTCGATATAATAACTACTTCGTGACTGAAACACAGTCACAAAGTACAAACCCAACCCTTTTGTCCCCACAAAACTCGTTAATTGCTACCTCAGAACAACTGAGAGTAGCAAACACTGGAAATTAGTGACCTGTCAGGGTTCACCAATGTCAAAATGTCGACTGCTGTTCTGGCCCCTTCCCTTATTAATTTGGTAAAAACGACCTCCCCGCTTAAAAATTCGACCAAAGGCTGCTTGCAGACCCCAATGTAAGAATTGCTGCGTCTGCTTACCTTAGGTTAAGTGCATAACCGCACCGATGCTCTTGGATGGCTCTTTGCTGGCTGTTAGCGTCTGCTTTAAGTATCCATTATTCCAAAGAGGGGGATTCTGGGTACTTCCGGTAGATCCTCTAAAGATGGTGTGACTAAATACCTACCGGGGTACTACAGAACACAAATTTCTGCAAATCTTTGAACATGTAGAAAAGGAAGGATAATATTCATTAGAGAAACAGATTCCACCACTATAACTCATGTATTACTATATTTCTTCACTCTCAACAGTTAAATTTTAATTATTTGAAAAGATCGACAAGCCTCACGCTTTAAAATTTAAATTTTTTACCGTCTCAAGTGGAGAAATCTTGTACCAGACTTGTGCAATATTACATGTATTTATTAATCTATTATGTTTAAGTCACCAATATGTGCTAAAATTAAAATTTGAAGTGTCATTATGCCATAACAAGTGTTATTATGATAATGACTGTGTCATACCAAGGAATTATATGTTTAAAAGGAATGGAAACGCGGCCGACTTCAAAGAAAATTGTATGATGCATCTCTGACTTGGGTGGTGTGTTAATTACATCCCGTCGCTCTAACTGGCTCATTACTTATCTGGCAGTAGTTATCGAACTTGGTCATTTAATCATGAAATGAAACAAGAAATTGTCTATTTAGATATACAATTCCTTAAATGAAATAAACAAAAAATACAACCTTAAACAAAGTTACTTCTGAAAAACATTTTTTTCTTGTACCTCCTCTTGATATTTCACGATGGTATGCAACAATTAAGATCAATTAATAGTTGAAATCTGACATTATACGAGTTTTTAAAAAGATTTAAGGTAATGCAAAAAGTTAAAAAATAACTTTTCAATTTTGGATTATGACTGGTATAGAATAGTATAAAGGAAGAAGTACGTGAACAGATGTAGTATTTTGTCTAGATAAAAGAACTTAGATAATAGGTGTTATAATAAACACCGGTATGGGATATCAAATTTGCAGGTATAATCTAGCATGTATCATTGAACAGCTAATTTTTGTCGTATATATATTTAAGCAGGAACAGTGTATACATTTTTGTACTAACTATAGGCTGTCCCTGATTTAAGGTGTCAAAAAGAAATCACGCCGAGCTCACCTGTTAATAAATGCTAAATTATGCCGTGGTGCAATAATTTTTTTAATTAGAAACAGTTAAAACTTTCCGACATTCGCATATTATTTATTTTAACACCGAAGGAATATTTTGCGACCTCTAGACTACTGCTCTTCTAGCAAAAAAAGGAAGGAACTGTTTTGCTTTTAAGCTTGTGGTAATTTGCTGCAAAGCTTAATAATGGCAAACTACAATACCAAACAACGATTAAGTATAAAAATAGTATTTGACAAAAGATAAATTTATTAAAATCGTGTATAAAACGGCACAATCAATCTCAATCGGAAGTCTCATATACATTTCTTGCCTGTAATTTCCGACTTCGTCGGTGTGGAACTTGACTGAACAAAATGGCGTCGATGTGAACTATGAACATGGGATTTTGAAAAATCATAGCAAATTCGTTTTTATCACCATTTTCATAAAACCAACACTATGTGATAGAAAAAAGATTAAGCTTTTAAGTTGTATGTCAATGTCACATCTATTTCAAGTAGTTATTTAACCCTTACCAAAATACGAAGTGTCGATGTATTTATTGACGCACTACTTCAAATTTTCAACATGTTTCGAAATAAAATCATTTACATTGTACCAATTACATTTAGCGTTCGTAATTTAGACCAATCTGTAGGAAAATATTCCTTCTTTAAAATGATATCTCATTTTCTCACTTTGTTCTTTCTACTTTCCAATATTTAAAAGAAATCGTAGTACACTCCCAGATTGATAGACATATTTTGACAGAATAATGAAATTCAAAACTGAAATTTCGAAAAATCGTAGAAAATTCAGAAATTTTACTAGAAACTTAAAAAATGGGCTAAATGATAGAATAAGGTTTCAGCTTCATAATGATATCAACTGTTTTGTTTTGCACTTCGTAGTTGTCGAGCTTTTAGAAAAAAATCAAAACACAGTATTTTTTGTTTTGTAATCCGGATAAAACTCGCTCAAATTTCAAGACCAAGGTCTATTTTAATGAGAATTTACATAATACAATATTACAAACGTATGTTTGATGAGGCATTAAAATGATACCTAAGGCCTTGCATTTTTCATGGATTAAAAGTTTATTCTTGATTTTGTGTTTCTCTCTCCTTTATATCTTCTGAAGCAAGATGACCTTGTGAATTAAAAGACCGATCTATATGACAGGAAATGGACATCCGTCATGATTCTTTATGATTCTTTATATTATTCATCATACTTCCGACTGAGACAGACATGGATTATAGCTTTGCGGGTGCTCTGCGGGTATCCCGATTGATCTCGAACAGCGTTTCCATTCCTTTTAAATATACAATTCCTTGGTCATACGGTCTTTCGATGTATCACCGATTATGGGTTAAAACTATTATGGGAAATGGACAGTAAGGACTGAATGAGGACAGAAGCGTAATTACTTTTCTGGTTGTTTTTCCAATTCAACATAGAGTTCCGAGATTGAAGATTTGATCAATGAACCATGCAATTGTAATTTTTCAACGGATGCCTCGAATTTGAGGAAATGGTTGGCTTCCTGGATATATTCTTTTTGACATCTTTTCAATTCGACGAGCGCTGGTATTTTTGATAACACATCAAATGGCTCATCTAAGAAATCCTGTGCATAATAAATATGTAGAAGACTCAAATCCGATCTTTTCCAATCCGACACCCATCCGGGCAATGCAACATGTAGTGATTCGGGAGATTTTTCTAATGCTTTTCGTTTAGCGGGTCTTTTGATTTCATCGTCCATAGCAAGGGAACATAAATATAGGGGAGAGAGACTCTATGTATGTTTGTATGAACTTTGCGTGTATATCCCTCCGATCAAAGAGCACACCATACTTATTGTGTATAAAATTAGCTAAAGGGCTAAATAAAAATATATCTTCTGATCACAACGCTTTCATGTCGATCCGGCCCAAATACACCTAATCGCTATTTATTCCATTCCGGGTAAGTTCTAAAATTACACAACTTTTTCATCCAGTTGACGCTATCTGGGACCCTGTTTAAACAATGCACCATGCATGATACTTTTTAATGAGACCTGTTTAAAACATCGTAAATACTTCAAACACAATATTTTTTTGACTTTAATTTGAGTTTGGAAAAAGTGGATCATAATCTATCAAAGTTTCCTATTGATCGCTTTCTAAATTTTTCCCTCCCTCAGCTCGTTACTGATGACCTTTGTTTGCGGCCTGTTGACCTAAACAGGAAGTTGTCTAAATGACTGTTTTTTCCGGATTGGACTAAATAGCGATAAGGTGTATCGATCCGTCCCACGTCGATCCGGTCCAACGTCGATCCGGCCCATATTAGAAGCCGGTCGATCCGGCCAAAAAAAAATATATTTATGAGGATTAAAAATAAAGATATATATTAATTGTAATTCATAAATGTTTATGAATTTTATTATAATGTAAAAGGTGTACGGTAAAAAAAAATGGCCTTTGACAAATATTTTCTTTAAAAGAGTTTAAAACAACTATGTTGATTATGTTTTCATTACAAGTTTTCAAGATTATTGGGTATAATTATAATCAACATTAATCAGCATTTTCTTTCAATTGACTGTGATCCTTTGTAATAACAAATAGTTACATACACAACGGTACAAGCCGATCCCCAAGCTGATACATACAAACTTTGTTTTTTGTTTTAAGTTCTTAAAAGAAATGTTGTTTGATTTGCCGAATCCTTTCTATAAAAGAGGAGACAGAATGCGTTTGCTTTTAATATCACAATGGCTTTTCCTTGTGTGGTATGTGACCAACATTTTAGACCTCGGCAGCATACACTTCAATGTGAGCAATGTTCAAAGTGGCAACACCGTCTCTGTAATACCGGTAAGTTTCTATTTTCACTTTTTGCTTTAATATAATCAAACTGTAATTTTGTATATAAGTCTTAAATATTTTTGTCTTTGCTTTCATCATTAATTCATTAAACCATAAATATGAAAAAAAGTATAAAGTTTTGTTTTAAATCTGGGAATATTAACTTCCGTGTTTTTCAGGTATTAAATGGCAAAAAGCTTATAAATTCTATTTTTTTGTATTATATATTTGTATTTTACATTATAAAGATAGATATTTACTTTTTTTAAATTCCTTTATAGGAGTATCTCTACTGGAATACAGACGCATGGTAAATGAAGAAATAGATGTGATCTTCACGTGCATCGAGTGTAATTATTGTGTTATTATCTTACAATAAAGAATAATGGATACTCATATAACTTGTTTTTTTTATCTACACACAACTATTCAAAATATTGTCAACTTAAAAAAAATATATTGACTATATTCGATATTACAAAAAAAAAAAAAACGTGTTATAGAAGCCTCTTATGTTACCTGAAAAAAAATACAATTAATTATTATAACACATATATGTAACACCAAACAAAAGATCAAACTATAAAGACCAGGGATTACGTAACTTTAATCAATCAGGATTTGATTGAATTAAGTGATCACGAGTGGCATTACCTTAGTTCACAATCATTAGACAATTGTTGAATAAACAAACCAATTATAGACTAATGATTTGATAAAACAAGTCAATATGATGAGTTAAATTTTATAGGTTCCATTGGACTGTAAATATTTATTAAGCTTTTCTGTGTGTGAATTAAATAAAATAAAAATCGCCATGACGTTCAAAGTTATCATGGAAAATAACTTCATATTAATATGTTGACGCTGCTATATAAACAGACACAATCACACTCATTTTCGTATCGATTTAAAATAATTCTTTGACTGGTACTCCAATACTTCACTTACCTGTTGTCATCCATCATTTTTACAAATTCCATTTAAATAAATACTGTTAAAATTTGTTACAAAATCCTCCAAAGTCAATATAGTTTATTCATATTTTATTATGGGGCCGGATCGACGTAGGGACGGATCGACGTGGGCCGGATCGACTTGGGACGGATCGACTTTGGGCCGGATCGACTTGGGGCCGGATCGGTTTGGGGACGGAACGACCGGATACCATCACAACATCACCTAGGAGATTTAACTTACTGGCGGAACATCGTTGGTTCCCCAAGGAACGCGGATATTTTGATGAAAAAAACACGTCCTCTAATATATAAACGAAACAAATATGGTGTCAATAAAAAAATCAAGCATTTTCAAAGAATGTTTTGTTTGAATGATTGATTTTTTTTACAAAGTACGATTTAGGTTCTCCTTAAGACATAATATAAAAAAGAAGATGTGGTATGATTGCCAATGAGACAACTCTCCAGAAGAGACCAAATGACACAGAAATTAACAACTATATAGGTCACCGTACGGGCTTCAACAATGAGCAAAGCCCATACCGCATAGTCAGTTATAAAAGGCCCCGAAATGACAAATTTATAACAAAGGCTAACGGCAGGCTAATTTATGTACAATAAAATTAACGAAAGACAAATATGTAACACATCAACAAACGACAACCACTGAATTACAGGCTCCTTACTTGGGACAGGCACATACATACATAATGTGGCGGGGTTAAACATGTTAGCGGGATCCCAACCCTCTCCCATAACCTGGGACAGTGGTGTAACAGTACAACATAAGAAAGGACTATAAAAATTAGTTGAAAAGGACTTAACGCATCGATCAGATGGATTCAAATATAGAAATACATCTAACAAAAACACAGAGTGGACGTGGTCGGGTACTTGACATGTATATTCCAACAACAAAAAGACCCTAAGTACAGATCTGAGAGTACTCGCAGTTACTGACAGCTAGTTCAAGTTGGTCATTAGTTTTTATGAAACAAAATATGACCGAGTCTTTAATTTTTTTTCTTTTAGTGTTGATTGATCTTTGGAACATTCACATCTGGTACACACCGCCCTTAGTATGTGTATATTATTGGTAGAAGACTGTATACGTTTGATTAGCGTACGTCTCATTCCTTTTGCATATTAAGCAAATAGAATATTTTTAAACTAAGAATGATGTTATCTATATAATTTATGTCTTCGTTTTCACATTTAGCCTGTTGCCTGGCATAATACTTTACTGAATCCATCAGTATTTTGAAGTTGTGCTTCCCATTAATTGATCTAGGCTCTCGATATTTCGGATATATGGCACTGATATGAAGTGGGATGAAAGTGGATAAATTTAAACCTTATTCACTTTATTCAGCATACAAATTCTTTTATGAAATATCTGCCTCTAAACTCAGAATGCTTTGCGCTACTACACAGGTGAAGATTCGAACCATATCAACTGATCTTTTTTTCTAGACAGATCAAATGTCAATATCTGTACCCACTATGTTGTCATCTAATACGCTGTACCAAACGCATTCCATACAGTGATCATAAGTAAGGCTATCAGAGTTGTTTGTATTTGTTCCTCCAATGATAATGTCACAAATCGACCAACTCGCTAATCCGGGATATAAAAAAAGTCAATTGACATATAACTGTAGACAAGCTCTTTCTCTCAGTCGACCTGATTACATAAGGGAACAACCATTTAACTTCCAGGGGGCGGGTTATGGTTTTTTTCTAAAAAAATATTCGGATCCCCAATTTGATGAAAAAAAAATATTCTGGTCAAGCAGATGACGCAAAAAATAATCTGATCGCAAATTCCCCTCATACCTTATAATGTTAGATTTAGAAAAAAATAATCTGATTGATCGTGTTGAAAAACTAAATAAATTTGAAAAAAAATTCTGACTAAGAAAAAAAAACATCACCCCCAAACCATAACCCCCCTGGGCCCCCCTGAAGTTAAATGGTTGTTCCCTCAGACATATCTGAATCGACTGCATTATTACCGCTGATATTGATCACAACACGGCTTGTTACATAGAAGGTGAACCCGAGAAAGTCAAAGGCGTTGGTTCCAGATGGGATCAATAAGATTAGGATGATTGAGAACACATGCAGCGTGTAGTGTAAACCCCTAGACGTGTTAATTTCACGTGGGATGAGCAATTGGTCATACGCAAAGTTTTAACAACAATCATTTAAACTGAGTCAGTTATTTACATCTGGGATGTTACAGTAGTATTATTATGCACTCTAACCTGTCGTTAATACCAAAATGTTGTGTACAATCTTCAAGATTTTAGAATAACATTATTGTAACATATAAATGATATTCGGTTTTTATGATGTAAAATTTTCAAAATTTATGTAAAAAGAAAATATAGTTAAATTTCTTTTTACAACGGCTGCTCATACATTGCGATGGGTAATGTCACAACCTCGTAACTGAAAATTTGTTGCTTTTCAGAAATTTACGTGTGATGAGATCATTGAAGCTGTTGACTAACTTATTGCGCCCCTTTAATAGCAGACTTGTTTTTGTACTGTTATGAATCACAGTTTATGACCAAACTCAGTAAAGACCCGTCTAAATTGCGTTTAATTGATAAATTCAACAACATTTACCGTTATTTTGATGATATTTTTTCGTTAAATAATCAAGAATTTTCTAAATATACTGCCGAAATTTACCCAAAGGAACTTACTTTAAATAAATCAAATTTAAACGGTTATAACTTTCCTTTACTAGATTAAGATTTTACGACGAAAGGGACGGTTTTCGTTCCCTATTGTTAATTTTCCCTTTTTGGATGGTGATGTTCCTTTGGCACCATCTTACGGTGTTTATATTTCACAACTACTTCGCTATGCCCGTGTCTGTTGTGACGTTTCTGATTTTAACGAACGTAATATATCAGGCTGGTACAGGATTGGGGAAATGTTCGCCAACC